GAATCTTTAAATTTATAAACTGTATATTTTGTATATATAAATTGTATATTCATTTATTTAGCTTCTTAATTTATCTTAGTTTTATTTTTTATAGATCTGTGTACATTTTACAATATAGCTAAGTATTTCATATTTTTCATGCTATTGTAAATTTTTGGAGACAAAGCCTGGGTCTCTCACCCAGACTGGAATTCAGTGGCATGATGTTGGCTTGCTTCAACCTCTGCCTCCTGTGCTCAAGCCATCCTCCCACCTCAGCCTCCCAACTAGCTGGGCCTGCAGGTACATGCCACCTGGCTAATTTTTGTATTTATTTGGCTGTGGGGTTTCACCATGTTGCTCAGGCTGGTTTCCAACTCCTATGCTCAGGTGATCCTCCTGTCACAGCCTCCCTAACTGTGAGCCATGACAGGAATGAGCCATATGCCCGGCCTTGGTATTATTTTGTGTTAAATGTTTGGTGATACAAACATTTTTGATACAAACAGTTTTGTTCACTGATACAACCATGTGGGCCTGAGATTTCTTTGTGGTAAAGTTTTAGTTGAATTCAATTTCTTTAATAGAGAATATGTCTATTAACATTTTCCATTTCTATTTTTTAAAAATCTTTTGGGACTTTAAAAAATTTTATTTATTTATTTATTATACTTTAAGTTCTGGGATACATGTGGAGAATGTGCAGGTTTGTTACATAGGTATACATGTGCCTTGATGGTTTGATGTACCCATCAACCTGTCATCTACATTAGGTATCTCTCCTAATGCTATCCCTCCCCTTCTCCTCTAGCCTCCAACAGGCCCTAGTGTGTGATGTACTTCTCCCTGTGCCTGTATGTTCTCATTGTTGAACTCCTACTTATGAATGAGAACATGTGGTGTTCGATTTTTTATTCCTGTGTTAGTTTGCTGAGAATGATGGTTTCCAGCTTCATCTATGTCCTTGGAAAAGATATGAATGAACTTATTCTTTATTTATGGCTGCATAGTATTTCATGGTGTATATGTGCCACATTTTCTTTATCTAGTCTAACATTGATGGGCATTTGGGTTGTTTCCACATCTTTGCTATTGTGAATAGTTCTGCAATAAATACACATGTGCACATGTCTTTATAGTAGAATGATTCATAATCCTTTAGGTATATATCCAGTAACGGGATTGCTGGGTCAAATGATATTTCTAGTTCTAGATCCTTGAGGAATCATCACAGTATCTTCCACGATGGCTGAACTAATTTACACTCCCACCAACAATGTAAAAGCATTCTTATTTCTCCACATCCTCTCTAGCATCTGTTGTCTCCTGACTTTTTAATGATCACCATTCTAACTGACGTGAAATGTATCTCACTGTGGTTTGATTTGCATTTCTCTAATGACCAGTGATGATGGGCATTTTTTCACATTTGTTGGCTGCATAAATGTCTCCTTTTGAAAAGTCTTCCATATGTAAATAGTTCATATCCTTTGCCCACTTTTTGATGGGGTTGTTTTTCCTTGTAAATTTGTTTAAGTTTCTTGTAGATTCTGGATAGTAGTCCTTTGTCAGATGGATAGATTGCAAAAATTTTCTCCCATTCTTTAGGTTGCCTGTTCACTCTGATGGTAGTTTCTTTTGCTGTGCGGAAGCTCTTTAATTAGATTTCATTTGTCAATTTTGGCTTTTTCTTAGCAGTTGCCTTTGGTGCTTTAGTCACTATGAAGTCTTTGCCCATACCTATGTCCTGAATGATAGTGCCTAGGTTTTCTTCTAGGGTTTTTATGGTTTTAGGTCTTATGTTTAAATCTTTAATCCATCTTGAGTTAATTTTTGTGTAATGTGTAAGGAAGGGGTTCAGTTTCAGTTTTCTGCTTATCACTAGCCAATCGTCCCAATACCATTTATTAAACAGGGAATCCTTTCCCCATTGCTTGTTTTTGTCAGGTTTGTCAAAGATCAGATGGTTGTAGATGTATGGTGTTATTTCTGAGGCTTCTGTTCTGTTCCATTCATCTGTATATCTGTTTTGCTACCTGTATCATGCTGTTTTGGTTACTGTAGCCTTATAGTATAGTTTGAACTCAGGTAGCGTGATGCCTCCAGCTTTGTTCTTTTTGCTTGGAATTGTCTTGGCTATACCGGCTCTTTTTTGGTTTCAGATGATATTTAAAGTAGTTTTTTCTAATTCTGTGAAGAAAGTCAATGGTAGCTTGATGGCAATAGCATTGCATCTGTAAATTACTTTTGTCAGTATGGCCATTTTCACGATATTGATTCTTTCTATCCCTGAGCATGGAATGTTTTTCCATTTGTTTGTGTCCTCTCTTATTTTCATTTCCAAGGATGAATAGTAAAATTAGGTGCAGCCATGACACCTGGAAAGAAAGATTAAATATTGTTTCTATTCATTTACATTTAAAGGGCTAAAATGGCCACTTTGCCTTTTTACTGAGAGTGACTAAATTTCTTCTGAGGAGTTTTCTCAACTTCGATATTGAGTTTCTTCATTCTAGGGTTATACATCTTAGGTTTCTTTAGCAATAATCAAGTATAATTGAATTGTTCTCAAAATGCTTATTTTTTTTCTTTTTAGACTCAAATATTTTGTGGCCATGTTGTGTTGTTATATTATCTAGCTTATATAGTGCTTAGAATAGGAAAACAGAGAAGTTGATATAAAACATAAAAAATCTGCCTAAAATAAAGTTGAATAAAGGTTTAGATCTGACTGTTTATGTTACTGACAAATAGCAATTTTTGTTAAGGTCTCTTATACCTCCAGTTAAGCTTTAAATACAGGTACATGTACATACACAAATATGTGTACTACAAATAAGTAATATGTATTTGATCCTAAAGTAAATATTTCTTAACTCTACTTGACTTTGAATGATATATCATGCACAGAATTTATTATTGGTTTTTAAATAAGAACATCTTCAAATTAAATTATAAAACATTAAAAAAATAGTTACAAGTTCATTATTATCTGTATGAAACATTCTTTTTTGGTTTTCTTTTATCATTTGTTTAGGTCAGATGTGACCCTAATGTTCCACAAAGAGACAGAGATTGATAATCAGGAAAGAATAGCCCTTTAATGTGATTTATATCTATAGATTTTATGTCAGATATGAAAAGTTGCTGTTCAAATTGTAAAGAAGGATCCATTAAAGAACACTTTAAACCATTTTACCATTTAGCTTACCTTGAGCCCTTGTTTTTAGAATTATGCCTTTTTGGGCATACTTCAATAGCTTATCAAATGTTTACAAAATATGATTTGATGTTAAATTATAATATTAATAAGAGATCAAAATGATAGGATATTTAATAATGTATTTTCGGGTACTCTTAATAGTGTTTAATATGAAGGTATGTGGTATGTCATAGCATTTTAGAAACCAATGATTTTCCAAATTTCACAAGTAGATTTGAATTTCCTCTTAGGTAAAGTTAGACAAGGGCAGATATGGACATAGTAGAGAATGCTGAACGTTTACAGTTCTGTAAATGTCTTTCATTTTGCACTATTTGTTTTAGTGTATGGTTGGGCTAGATATGAAATAAGCTATAGAATGCTTCTCAGTTCTTCAGTGAGTATATAAAAATATGATATATCAGTTAACATTTTCGTTACAATGAAGTAATTTCCTAGTTATCTTCACGTAAACTACTGCTCTTTCATATATTTCTTAATCTTTTTTTTATTTGCTCAAATTATGTTTTTGACAGACAACTCTTCTGTGGTTTGCTTGGTTAATCTTTTTTAAAAATATAGTATATGAAATTTGCTTTTAATTTCTCATCAATTAATCTAGTTCTCAGAAGGATTTATTTTCTCCACATTATTGGTTAGACTAAATAAATTGTTTGCCCTTACCAGTGTACATCTCTCAGAATTTGTACTCAGGTGCTCTCAAGTACCCTCACAGAAGTTGCCTAGAATCTTCTGATTGGCAGATTGACACAATCTTAGATCTAATATAATCTCCTAATATTGCAGATGAGGAGATTTAGACCTAAAGAGGCAAATGAGTGAATTGATCAAGACTGACAGGATATATTATCAAGGGTGATAATGTAATCTGGTTTTTGTTTTGCTTCCCATTCTTTTAGTCATTCATATAGGTTATGATTCTTCTGACTTTTTTCTATACTCATTCTTTATTTTGGAATTTCTTCAGTCTGTTACTCTTTCTACCTGTATTTTGTACTAGGGTCAAACTCTCTTGCTTTGTCCCTCCCTGAAATTGATTCATGTTTTTCTGACTTGCCTTTGCTTTAAAGGTTTCTTTTATTTACCCCCAAGAATGAATTCTAGAATTCCTTCCTCATTAAATTCAGCTTTTCATCTCCCTAGCATAGTGTTTTGCACAGGCTAAGATATTTGATTCTTTATGCATGTACATATACACCATATCTTTTGGGTTGCTTTTGGTGTAAGGAACAGAAAATCAATTTTTTGGAGTTTTCTATTGGTTTACAATGAGCAGGTGTTTATTGGCTCTTATAAAAGTCTTTAAAAAGTGTCATAGGAAGTCTGAAGGTAGGCTAATCTTTAGAATTTGATTGATCTGGAAGTTCATTATTTCACCTGGAATAAGCTCTATTTTTCTACCGTTTTCATAGTTCTGCTCTCATTTTGGCTGTATCATCAGGCCAGCTTCCCTCATGGTACAGAGAGCTTCCATCACTCCTAGAGTTGTGTGCTGCTGCTTTTATACTCTGAGAGGAAGGAGGAAACTAACTATCCAACAAAAACTTGAACTTTGCCCTAACTATACCAGTTTCATCAAGTGCCTTTCCCTAATCCAGTTTGTCAGTGTGTGTGTGATTATTACCCTGATTAGTTTAGGACAATCAGGACTCCTGTTTGTTGCTAGGGTGGTGGTGGGAGTAGTGTGTGGCAGCAATCTAACAAAACTGGTATACTGTAGGAAAGGCAGGCATGCATCCACATTGTATCTTCTGTATGTAAACTAGTGATATTTGTTCCAACAACAGGTGTATGTTACTTATCTATCAGAGGGTGTGTGTGTGTGTGTGTGTGTGTGTGTGTGTGTGTGTGTGTGTATGTATGTATGTATTTGTGAACTTAGATTTTGAAGTTAAGGGGAGGACTCTAGTAGACACTGTGAATAGAACAAAGGACCACATTTACATCCATCTTTGTTTACTTATTTTAAACAGAGCCTTAAGTACAGCATCACAAACATTACACCACAAGTATCTGAATTCCAAAATAAAGAGAAATAAGCATTTTGGAAACTAGCAATTATAGTGTATCTGATTACTGACAAGTAATTCTAAGGTTTTTTTTAATATACATCTCATGGAAATTAAAATTTAATGTATGTAAATCTCATGGGTATTAAAATTCAAACACAAATTGAATAAATTTGGGCTGGGACCTGAGACTCTGCCTTTTAAATAAGATCCCAGTGAATCCCAGTGCTCTTGGTATATTTTGCTAGGACTGAAAAGACAAAACTGTTTCATGTTCTAAAGGTGTTTAGAACTGGCTCAGTTTACTGTTGTGAGCTGCTATCGTCTCTTTTCTGGCCCTCTGCAGTAGCCTCATTACTGTCTGCTCACTTCACTTTTCTTGTCTTACTACAATGTATTCTCTAAATAGCAGCTGGATGATCATTTTAATATGTAAATTGATCACTTCACTTCGCCAAATTTACCACTGGGATCCCATCACCTTTGAATACAATCTAAACTCCTTACCCTAATACAAATGATGTAGCCCTGGCCTGCATTTTGAAAATAATTTCTTAAGATTATTCTCCTTATTTACTGTATCTCAAGTCCTTTGCAACTTCACTTCATGCTGTTTGTCATACTGGGCTCCTGGTTCTTACAAGACTGTCTTCTCTTCTTGTTGTTCAGGTCTCTACTTCAATGTTTACCACTTCTGAGTATATCTCCTGACTGACTTCAGAGAAGTAAATTATTGTAGGATGTTGTACTGAGATAGCAGATCACTAAATCTCAGTCAGTTAGGTTAATAAGAAATATGAAAGTAGGTTTAAACTTTTGGCTGTTTTGACTTAGGGTAAAGATTATTTCATAATGCATTTTAAAGTTTTTTTCATATTTTTATAATAATTTCTTTTCTATCCAAGTCACTGTGTGCCCAGTATTCTGCAGACAAACGAGAAGATGAGAAGATGTGTGATCATTTGATAAGAGCAGCAAAATATCGTGACCATGTGACAGCAACTCAACTAATCCAGAAAATTATCAACATTCTCACAGACAAGCATGGAGCCTGGGGAAATTCTGCAATGAGGTAAAAGGATACCTTTAGGATTTGGCCACTTATTTTCTGTAGATGGCCTAGGTTTAGATAAATGGCTTTGGATATGATCAAAGCCAGATGAAGAAGAGAGTCATTTAATTTTGTATTTCATCATCTCTATGAATTTAAAGTAAAAGGGAAGGAGAAAATCAGTATTGGTACAATTATGGATCTTTGTAGATATTTCAGTTTCCTCAACTACTTCCAAAATAATATTTGCTTTATCTATTTATTCCCTTTGAAATGAATTATTAAGGGAAGCAGTTAAACTATCTTAAACTATCTTACTAGCTACACTTATAGCCAAATTTATACATGTATAACATTTTGTTTTAAAAATCTATGCTCTCTTTTATTGTTTTTTGAAAATAAGCATATTTTCAAAATATAATTTTGAAAATATAATAAAATGTTTTTTTTTCTTATGTTGCAAATTGCAGGACTGTGATGATAAACTTGGTAAAATGACTCCTTTAAAATTTTAGTCAGTAAATCTACCTTCTTTCAAAATAGCCAAACAGGACATGCTGTTGTTGATTCTACTTTCTAGAAACAAAATAATTAAATTGCTTTTCAAGACTAAGGAACTTGGACAAATTATAAAATTTATCCTCCATGGAATATTTTATGCTACAAATTTCAGAAGCATGTGTTGACTCTTTTAAGTAATGTTAATGACAAAAAATTTTATTTGCCCATTAGAAAACATTATATTTTAATTTCTCATTTTTGTGTAACTTTTTCTAGAAGACAACAAAAACAAATATAGTCAATTACTTGTATATTATGTAGGAATGTAATTTGCTTTCATTTGAGTTTTAATCAACTTTTGTGTCTATCAGACATCAAAATCCAGTTTTAGGAATTGTCCAGGATAAAGAAAACAATTTTAACTTTTAGAAATGTAAGCTTCAATAATTATTCACTAATATAGAGTAAATATGTTATGTGATGTTTATTACAAAGAATATTTACATATAATGAATTATATTTCTGGGTACCTAATTTTTCATATTCAGAGGAAGAAAGGCAAGTCAGTGTCTTGAGGGCAAAAGGAAAGAAAACAGGAACCATGTTTGTTTGTTTGTTTTAATCTTATTTCAGTTAATCTGCAAGTGCAAGAGTGGTCATGGAAATAACATGCATTCATGGGGTCAGTGATCTCTGGTGCTTTATCTTGCAACACATAAAAGCCCATGGAGGGGACA